ACTTCTTTTTTTGAAAAAAAAGAAGTTAAGTTTTTGTTATTTAGAAACAGTGCATAAAAGAATTCTTTTGCGTTACTCTCATCCCTGACAATTTGCCGTCTCACTAGCTTTCATGATGTGTTTGTTTGAGGCAACCCTTGGGAACTGAATGCCCCATTCACCTCAGGAAGCCAAGATGAACTCAGTCCAGACAGAACTATAGTAGCCTAATATTTGATAAATGAGAACAACCAACTTTGTCTGTTCATGAGTTGACGTTACTTGTGCTTAAAAATTATTACATATCGCCAAAGTGTGATTTTACATTACTACTATAATAAGTGTGTTTGTTGGTATAATGCCAGCATTTAAAACAATGTATCAACCCACAGACTTCAACCAATATGTAAAATGGCAAATTTATGAAGATAAAATCCTGGATAATGTTTAAGTCTGTAAATTTTGCATCAAATATTTTTTTTTAAATAACAGAAATGAAAGATTGAAGGAATGATGCAGAAAAGCAACTCCTGTACCTGTATACTTGATAGAAATATAAATGTAAATGAGCATAACTCTTAGATTAGACTTTACCATCATTGTTGTGTATCCATTCAGAAACTGTGTTTAACTATGAGTTTAACGCACAAGAACGCCGCACTCATACCCGTTACCAAAGAGAAAAAGTAGATGTAGGAACCTTTTTTGTTTTAAGTAATTGATGCTATTGCCTAGAATATGTGTTACATAATAGGAATTGGAGAAGCACTACTACAAACCAAGAAGACTTATTCAAGAATTAGAAGTATAATGTATGCACCAAAGATGTTGACAGTCAGGTGCACTGCAATAAGGCAATCAATTTCTGAAATCAAACAAATTTTTGACTTGAAATTTTACTATGTATATAAAGAAGGTGTGTTGTAGATAAATCGTACATTTAAAAATGATGTATATATTCAAAATTTGTATTACTAAGGCATTTTTCCAGTAAATCTTATAGAAAACTAAAACCGTATGTCGATGTCTAAATATGAACCTTTTAGTAGATCCTGCTTTTCCTTTTCAATATCTTTCTTAAATGATTTATCTAATCAATTAACAAGTTCTACAAAGTGAAATACATTACACAGATGATTATTTTTTACTACATTAGAGATATCTTTGAGCATATCACAGCTAAAGCATAATGCACTGCCGTTCCCATACGGAGTGCTCAAATTTTAAGGAAAAGGAATAAATGTCTATTTAGTAAGTGTTAGAATTTTGTCATTAGCTGTGATCCCTGACCCCTTCTCCATTCACATCAGCAATTGTGGAACAAGGTGAAGTTGATTCTCAAAGGAGGATGTAAGAAACTGTTTTTTCCCCATGATATCCCATTGTGCCTGGAAGTCGAGCTGGAAGTAGACAGTTATTAAAAACGAAATGGATGGAGAAGTATTTTTCAAGATGAAAAATTAGAGCGAGAATAACATCACCAAGTGCTACTGTGACTGGCTGTGGGAGAGTACCTGTACGAATGAGCACTTTAATTCATTGCATGATTTGCAATCAATGTTACAAATGTTACAAATTTAGAACCCATACCCCTCAGAAGCCAAATTTTTATTCTTGTTTATGTGTGTGTAAAAAAATATACGGAAGCAATGAATGTACTTAATGTTTATCTATGTTTTAAGAAAGTGATTTAAAACAGATGGAGCTCACCATTACTGTATGGTAAATAATTGTAAAATAAAAAAGTGTATACAGAGAAGATTTTTTCGACACTTCACAATTTATTGACAGCATAGCCGTTGAATAAATTATGTGTTGAGAACAGTAATGTGACAATGAGTTAAATTGAGATTCATTCAATGAACATTCAAAACCTCATTTATCTTAAGAGAATTCTTTCATACACCTACAACCCGCTAAAAGACCCCTACAATCATGTAACTTTACCCCATACACTACTTACAAAGGAAAAACATGAAAGTTGACACGTAAATCTTAATACCTACTTCTATGACAGATCAACTCACATTACAATGGAAGCCCGCTTTGAAGAGAAAGTAATAGAAGCAAATATAGGTACCTAGTGTTTCTTCTCCCTTTCTCCAAATATTGAAGAGCCTACTCGTACATTTGTGCTCCCCAATTCAATCTGTACGAAAACAATTCAAAACACAAAACTATATTATATTGATCAAATATTACTTGCAGCCAATTCAAGTGATCCAATGACAAATACTTACAGCATGCTCATAGTCTGTGGACATACCCATCGAAAGTTCAATATCATGCTCATCAATGCCTAATTTTGACGCCAGGTCCTTCCTACATTTCACAAGACGCTGGAGAAAAAACAAAGAAGATTGGTATCAAAGAACTACCTGGGAGAGAGATTAGATTAAAACCAAAATCTATATGATTCAATTCACCAAAAAGTCAGGGTTAGGTCCACTGGAAACATCATATCCATACTGTCCAATTGTCATGATCCCAACAACTTCGAGAGATGGACACTTTTCCTGAACAAATGTATAGAGCTTATCAGCTTCCTCAGGCAAACATCCACTTTTCTCTGTCACATAAAACATACATATCAGGTAAAAATCACAAGACACAAATATAATAGTTTGGTGTTTGCTCCTCCACAGCCTACCTTTCTCACCACTGGTGTTAATTTGAATCATAACTTTTAGACGATGATCTTTCTGCTTTCTATACTTTTCATATGAAGTATTAAGAGCAGAGGCAAGTTTTTCAGAATCTACAGTTTCAACCATAAAGAGATTCGGCATTTGGGTAACTTTGTTAACTTTGTTGCCTTGCAAGTGACCAATTAGATGCCAGCAGATATCAGGGCAAGTTTCAAGTAACTGGAAAATGTGGAAAATGATTTATACAGATGATGAGAGCCAATACATTATTTTCTCATTGTTTTATACACCAAGGCATTATTTTGATATGAATGACACACCTCAGGGTCATGGCTTTTTTCATCCAACTCCTGCACATAATTTTCTCCAAAATGCCTTTGACCTGCACTGTAAGCAGCAATGATAAGCTGCTTGGGTTTCGTTTTGCTCACAGCAACTAAGCGTGGTTCGGTCACTCCATTACCCTAAAAAAGAAATAGGCGCAGTAATGAAAGAAACAGACACATACAGTGGTGGCATTCACATGTTCACTTGATCCTTACCTCTGGTCTCTTCAATACAGCAGCTTTAACATTGTCCCGAACTTCCTGGAGCGCCAGCAGCACATCACTTTCAGTCATTTTCCTGTAGAAGCAAGTTAACGATAAGTAGTTTAATTCTACCGTAGTTCACAAAAACAAATTCAAGGTAACACGAGAGAGTAAGACCTTGATTTAACTGGATGATCAGCACTATGCCGTCGCGTAGGTAAACAAGGATAGGAGGGTAAACAAGATAAGAGTACCTCTTTCCTATTGATAAGTTTGCTTTCAACAGTTTTGACAGCTGTTCTACTGAGTTTCAAAAAAATCATTCTCTACCAGAAAGCGCACTACACTGGATGCAACAACGCATACCTGTTTTAAAACCCTCAACCTCAATTCACACTTCGCACAGATGAGTGAATTGTGTTGAATGAGTTGAATCAAGAACACCGCTACCTGCCAATTCGCGTCGTCCGTCGTCTGTCGTCTGCACATACCCCATGCGCTCAATGCCAACCTTGCAGTTCATAAAGCACTCGATCATCGTCGAGCCAGTAATAAAAAGTGATAGCTGCCAGGCCACATGATTCAGTTTTTAATGTTTAAACAAGAGGTATCAAATAAAAAGGAAACTGTAGTTTTTTCAAACTAGTTGATTTAGTGAATTTAATTTCGTATGTTGGGTAGATCTGTAGTGAGCTTGCGGGAAGCTATGGCGCTCAATTTGACTTCACCTAGACCCTTGACCTTGGTCTAATCGTTTCATCCTAACTGTGTAGCTACAAACAGGGACGTTTTATCAGACTTAGCGGGGGGCTACTTCACTCAAATTGAGCTCCTTTTCTTTTAATATGTTTTGCAATCCAAGTGGAAAGGAATAATAGCACGTAAGGAAGGGAATAAGGAAGGATATTGTGTAATAAGTTTGGTAAGGCTCCGAATGAATCACATTTAATGGCAATTACAGATACAATCCAAATCTACTACTTCTACAATTGTATGGCTGGCTCTTCTATTTATCAAATAATTTCTGAAAGGGTCAAAGCACACACTGCCTGATTTTTTTAATTATTTTTTTTGAGTTCTATGGAGTGGTTTCCTGAAATTTGAGTTGAAAGAAAATTTAAACATATACGTAATAAGATCTTTGAAAGAGGCCAATTTCTTCTCATTTGAATTTTCCAATGGTGCCATCACAGTACTGCACAAGGTACTGTCATTGACTACATGGTGTTACACAAGATGGTTGAGGAGGGCGGTTTGACTACATGCAGCTACACAATTAATCAGCTTTTCAAGGTAAATACAAAGCTATAAACATATACTTATCAATTACTGAATTGGAAATATGTATTTGTACTGCCTTGAAAAACAAACAAGATTGAAAGCAAACCTTCCCAACAACAATAAATTCACGATAAAGGAAAAGAAGAACAGATTTACAAGCAGTCACATAATTTGACGTGAAAAGAACAACAACTGTTACTTAGATGCTAACATTAATACTTTCAAAATTACTCATATCATAACAAATTGTCAACCTTACTATTTCACTTAAGCTTAGAGAGGGAGTAAAATGTGTCATATGTGACACATACAGAAATATTGAAACCAGATCTTGGTTCTAAGGCTTTTCAGTCTTGAAAAAGGATGAACTGTCTATTTAGTTGCTCAGTTGATTCTGCTCTCACAAGCCAACCACTCGTGGTTCCAATATGGCAACGTTTTATTGATTTCAAATTCTTTCATAAAATGAAAAAAA